CGATAAAAACGATGCTGTAGTTAATCCATAGGTTAATATACAATGTGACTGTGTCCCCTTTGAAATGTTCTGATAATCCATAACCAATAAAACAGCTTTTCGTTGCTTGATATCAGAGCAGGATATTTCTCCCCTCAGCTGCAAGCTAGCATGCGCAAAGACGCCATCTTCTTTTTTTAACATGAGTGTGTGCAGGACGATTTCCCTTGGATTCTATTGGCTCTAACGCTCAGAAAGAGATGTCACATGTCAAAATCGAACAAGGGGGGCCAGAGATATGGAAAATCCACCCAAATGACCCCAGAAGAGGTTTTTTGCCTGTCTAAAAAGGTCAAATATCTCTTGTTTTGCATCAATCTTGATACAGGGTACTTATTATATTTTGACATTTGGATTACTAAAGCTTTTAGTCTACTAACCCATCATCCAAGGTTAGTTTTCACTATAAGTACAAAATATTTTTTGGACGGACACTATAATTTACAGTTTTTCGGAATTTTCTTTAAAATAAAAAACATCTATATTGATTCTGACTTTTCTACATCCAACTCACAGGTTTTTCATTACTTTGAGAAAAAAGATTATTAATTTAACCCTTTTAGAAGGGAAGATATGGTCATTTGTTCTGGGAATGTCATTTTCGAGCCTGAAACCTGAAAAACAGGCTGGGCCCAACAGGCGATGGATAAGGCTTTTTCAATTGGCATTAGAAAACACAATAAAAGACCATTATGTTATATCAGTTTATCAGAATGGCTCTCTGTCATTAGAATCAATTATTTTTCACTGTATGAAGTGGTGGCTGTCATTTTAAATAATAACTGTCAAGGTTTTACCGGGCTAAAATACCCCTATAAAAGCCCTTCCTGGTGGTTTGAATCCACTTAGACCCCTTTTCAGAAACTGTATTGTGTTATTCCTGATAAATACACACTGCATTTTTCTCTACCCCTGGACCTTCCTACTGTTCAACTGTCAAACTGCAAGAGGTTATTGCCAGCACAATGCCTTTACACATACATACTACAACATTTGGGATTAATGACATCTTTATCTTATCTTATACTTCCCAGATGATTTGCGACGGTGTGAGAAAAGGTCTCATAGGCACAGTTAGGGATAAACAGCATGCTATGAAGAGCACTAATCATCAGTCATAAATCTACCAACTGTCAGAGAGACAATCATCAGTATGCTATAGAGGCTTCTTCACTCTTTGCTCCTGGTGGTTGAGCAAAAGATTTCGCTGAGACAAATAACCCGAGTACAGCATCTTCTATGGGTTCAAACCCTGGGCAAAACTGCATTTTTGAATAGCTCTGGAAAAAATCTATTATCCATCAAGCAATACACACTATTGAAACTTGTTTTAAATATTTCAATACTTTAAAATTAAATAAGAGGCACAGCAGGGAAGGTTGCCTTCACCAGTAGGAAGAAATATATTACAAATAATAATTTATGAAGGTTTCATGGCGTCAATCTGCAAAATGATTAACCGTGTGCCTGTGTTTGTTTGCAGGGAGAGTCTGTATTTTCCAAGCAGTGGTCTTTCAGATCAATGAGCGTTTGCTTTCGGGAAAACAAGATGTAAGACAAATGGGCTTTCGGTCCAGTAGGACACTATACAGGAAGAATGGGCCTTCCAAACAATGGGCAATCCTGAAACCAACAGCCTTTTTTAACTGTCAGACCTGTAAAATGCTCAATCTCTGAGAGCAATGTCTTCTGTGGATCCCACTACATAATGATCCGATCATTTATTTTGTCCTCCGCATTCACTTATAATAGTCAAAACAATCAGTTGTATTTTAAGGTCCTGAGGAAGATGGAAAATGTAATGAGTTAAACATCTCCTCCGATAGCAGTTTGCCATATTCATGCATCAGCAGTCTAAGTATATTCAACCTGCCAGGCAAGAGAAAAGGCACACAGTAAATATTGCATTTTCACAGGTTCCAGGAAAGACTGAATAATGTGGCATTACCACTTCAAATCCTTCAAATTGTGGCCTCAGTCTTTCTCTGCTGTAGCTACAGTATATGTTAAGCTGCTGTTGTTGTATCTCACCTGGACAATGGCTCTGCAGTTGGTGGGCAAACACAATGGACTAACCGCCAGATTTATCATTTGTTTTACTGCCCATCATTTCCAAATAGCAATAATAATCTTAGTGTGCCTTTAAAACATATCTTCATAGCTTATCCTGTTTTTTCTTACCCATGCAGTCTGAAATGAGAGGTAACTGTGACCTCAATAAAGCAGAAGGAGCGAACAGCTAACCGAATAAAAAAACATCAATCCGAAAAACCTGTATATATTCCAAAGAAGAGGTGCCAAACTCCTGTACTCCTCTAGATTCAGCTCAAGTCCAACTTTTGAAAAAAAAGTAATAGATGTTCAACTTTTGCTAACGGCATTGATGTACAGTATTTAAGCTACTTGCTCTAAATGTATAAATATTAAATTAACCTTTTGAGGCTCTAATCAACTTGTTCAACGTGATTAAAATGTTCCCATCCCATCATAATACAATACTACATCTGTGACGCAGAGCAGTCCCCCAATCACACAACATCAATCTGCCAATCATGTCAAAGCAATTAGCTTTATGCATTCCATGGAATTCATGCGACAAGAGGTCAAAACAAACCAATCAACCCCTCATTTTAAATGTCTTAGGGGAACACTCAAATTGGTAGATAACATCATGTATTCTCCACGATACCCTACAGTCATATTGTACATCTGGGAGAAAGTGTTGGTAGCAGCAGTCATCACCTCCAGTTAAAATGATAAGTCACAGTATTTCAGTGCTAAAAGATACTCACCTCTGCAGATCGGCACAGGGAAGTCCCACACCGACACACCGGCTGTGTTGGTCACACAGGTGAGGAGTGAATGTCCGTCCAGGACGTAGCCGGTGACGCAGCGGTAGCGGATCTTGTCACCTACGTTGAACTGCGTTCCATTCAGTATTCCTTTGGGTGGAACCCCTGGGTTTCCACATGAGTTGCTTCTCAGCTCTGCAACAAGGAAAGATAAGAGAGAGTTGTTAAGAACAATATGTTGCTGTATAAAATATGTACCAAAGTGTGTCTCGAGTAATGTAAGCGAAGCAATTAGGTTTTATGTCATAGTTTTGGCAACCTAAAAGCTGTCCCTGTTGTATTGATAATTGTTAGTCATCTCAACTTTAGTGTTAAGAGTCTTTATCACTGTTATTGGCTAGCGAATGTCAGTTCAAGTCTGACATTTATGCCACTGCTACTTAGATGCTTGCACTGCCTTGGGAGCAGTGAAGTACTGCATTGGTGTCCTAGCCATCTCTTCACATTGAGAGTTCACTTAATGATATAAATCTTTAGCTGGAAGCTACAATATGGAGCTAAGAAACAACAAGTACATCCACACAATGCACACGGAAAGACAAGGCAAGATAGTAAAACATATTGCAAGAAGAAGGTACAGCAGCAAACTATAATCCTTTTCCTTTACACTGTTGAGGGGCCTTGTTGCTTAATAGTAGGGAGGGACGAACTGAAATGACTGTCCTTCAACAGTGAAAAATCCATGTCACAAAGAAATCCAAAGCACTGAATGTGAACTAGACATTCAACTTTTAAAAGAAGGAATTATTTGATACAGGATCTAGGCTGAAACATAATTGACCATAAACACTGAATGAAGGTCCCCGGGCTTTTTGCACAAACATCTAAATCTGCTGACATGGATCTCTTGGGTTTATAACTGATATTTATATATATAAATATAATAATGTTAAAATATAGATATTCAAAGAAAATTGCATGCAACAATAATATTAGACAAATAATATTACTTGTGCAAAACTGAATTTATATTTTTCTGAACCCCTTGGCAGACATATTTTGGAAGTTGGCATAGTGGAGTAATACATTTTACAATAGAAAGCAATTCCCAAGGAATGACTACCACCATCATATGCACTTATGCGCTCACAGAGTCAAAGTAGTTATGATCATGGTATTCCTTTGCAAACTATTGAAAAGGAATTTTGATCAAGATCTACAGTAGCTGTGAAAGCAGGACTGGAGAACTCTTCCATCCTATATTCTTCTGGTTGACTACAACCTTACAGTACATTTTGTTCTTCAGTTTAACCACCATTACAAACTCAAACTTCAAATTCCCCGGGTAAAAAATGCATCGGCAAGGATAACATTGTCGGCTTCTTTTCGTCTCAGCTTTAGATGTTGACAATTCAGTTTGAAGGCAGTGTAGGAGCCAAAATGCTTGTTTTGCCTTACAGTACTTGTTATTTGTATTATTATCCTTATACTATCTATATTTCTGTTTGCATCACGTTTAATTCTTATTGTTTATCACTTCCGGCAATGGTCACGTGGGTGTGGTTTATTGGTATTTAGTCACCTGTTGGATGCCGGTTTGGAGGATATATTGTAGGAAGAGGGTGAATGGCGCTCTGATGCTTTCTGTTGACTCTCAGGTCTGGAGTTGTATATCGTTTGTTTTCGTCTTTATTAAACACCATGGACTACAAATGACTACCGACTCCTACATGGAACGTGTCACAGCGAAGAGCACAGTTTAGCCTCTCAGCGGCTAACTCATAGGGAGTTATTGCCGCTACAGGCAGGTTTGGCCTTGAACTAAGCTAATGTTACTCAACTAACACCTGTTTATGTCTGTCAGATTGCACACTAATGATCTAGGGTGATTTTTGTAGAAGGGCCCTGCGGTCATCATTCGCCATATGTATGGTATCAACTGCACTTGTGAATATTATTAGTTACAAGTTGTTGTTTTTTAGTCATTCACGTGGAATTATAATCAGAGCAACATAAATTAAACTTGGCTCAGCTTTATGATAAAGGACACATAATAACATTTGTGAGTAATGATCAATAACCAATTAGCCTAATCAGATCCAGAGTTGGCTTGTTGATATAAATATAAACTTCCTTCCGTCCTACAGCTTGTCACTGATCATGCAGTCAAGTTAAATTGTTATTTTTGATATGTGCCATCTGTTTCTGGCTAATTATAACAACTGGCAAGCCAGGGAACAAAAATATGTTTTACACTTACATAAACTGTGTTGAAGGATAAAAAAAGAAAGTGGAAACGGGAACTCAGAGCATGTGTAATTTATTTTTTATAGTGTGAAAGATTTTTAAACACAAATACAATATACAAAAAAAATAATATATGTATTCTTTGTTTTGAATATATACACACGCAGCTTCCCCCAACCTCCCAAGTAGCTATCATTTTTGATTGACTTTACACTAAGCGATAAGTTATATTTGGACCAAAGCCCCTGCAAATGAAATGGGTTTATTATGTATTAGTGTATGATCCATGCAATTATTTTATTTTAAGTTGCAATAACTCCTTCCACAAGTAACTCATAGAGTCAAGACATCAAGTGTTTTAAAAATGGAATGCTATGATTGACAGCTTATTTAAATGTTGTTTTTGTGTGGGAGTCGCAAACCAAAGGGTTGTTAATATGAATATTAAAAAGGAGTTGACAATAACTGCAAGCTGCAGAGAATGTATGCATCCCTACATGGCACAACAAACAACAATCTCCAGGGGAGTTACTGAGAGCCTTTGTATTTCCAATGTATTTGTTTAGAATATCACATTTTTAGAGTTCAACAAAGTGTGACAAAGCACATCAAAGGCAATCTAAATATCTAAAAGCACCACAACAAGCCTTTAAAGCTTAGTGCAGAGGATGTCAGATTAAAATGTCACATTCTTGGGACTGATGTTGTGTGCAACTACACACAAAAACTGTTTCTGCCACCTTCACAACATTAGTGTTTGAATGGACATTTACCATCCAAGGAGGTTGATCACTGGAGAATAACTGGAGCAGCACACTGCGCTTTAGTTATTAAACACTAACCAGCCAATTAAAGAAATAAGATAAGTGACATTAAATTTAAAAAATGATTTACCAGAAATATTAGTAAACAAATAAGGGATATTTGATGTTGTAATAAAAGCATTGTCTGTTAAACTGTGTCCATGGGTTTATGCTCGGAAACACAAGTTAATTAATGTTGTCTGACCAGGAAGTCAAAGTGTTGATCGCTGTTTGAAACAGAAGCAATGGAAGGTGGTGCGAAAAGCCGGCCATCATAAATAAGGGTCACACTCAAACATTTTTCTCTCATGGAATAACGCTGATGTAAACATTAACAATGCCTGAATTACATTTGTAAATTATAAAAGAAGAGGTTCGATGCATGGCTCTTTTACTCACCTCAGCCCACATCACTGCAAATGCCAAAGCATATCATTCACATAATTTTAACCATGACCCCTCCATACCCTGAATGGAAGCATCTGCCTTTTACAATTGCATTTTTTTTAAATAATCTGAATCCATGAACTGCAAGCTTTCCTCTCTAAAGGATTAATATCTAAATATGATAAGATCGGTATGGGGTAGGGGTTAAGATTGCATCCATGTTTGCCAGTGTTTTCAGACTCCTTAAGAATCCAAGTAGGGAAGATAAATTTAGTAAGTTAAAGATGTGACCATGCAATTGAAACCCTACAGTAGCAGTGCAGCAACATAGCTTTTCTCCTCAACCAACAAAGCACACATTTAAGATGGAAGTCTGAAAGACTAAGATGCTAAATTGGATGGAGAAGTGCAAAATAACTGGCTTTATTGTAAACTATTAGTACAATGTCTTTATCTTGTCATATTTAAAGAAATATGTCAACAAACATTCTTTGAGTCGTCTTTCCATCATTTATTCCAAATACGTGTTTTGAATCAGAAGTGCAATACTCATAACTGCTGTAACTCTGATATGTTTGAGTAAAATCAAAAACTCAGAAGTTTGTAGTCTGTTGGCTTTTCCCAATCATACTCTGTGTACTCTGAACAGAAGTCTCATTTCAGCTGCCAGATGTTGCAGGGACCACAGACAGATTGCACTCAGCCAAATAAAAATGTGATAACATATAAATTATTTTACAGGGTGACAACAGATTTTCCAAGAAATGTTACAGTTTTTAATAATTTCCCATGGATGTTGTATGCAAGAGAATGGTGCATTTGAATTTCATGCTAGAAAACTCAAAAAAGCAAGTCACTACAATACTAATTGTGGCGCAGGTTGTACAGTTTAGTAAATACATGTCCATGGTGGAGAATATAACGGTTACATTCAATTAAACTGACTTACCGTGCGGCAACTTTAAGAAATGTATTGCTATCATAATTACTTCCTGGTGGTTGTTCTTGAGAGAACTATAGAGAAACAAAAGTGCAAGCTAAAGTAAATGTTTAAAGAAACTTACCCTAGGTCACTAATTAAAAAGTAATAGATTCATCGCAGCTGTAATTATACCAGCACTGACTCATTGGCCTTTGGTATATGGAAAGTCATAACTAATATCTCAGACAGGCATGGCTCTTGAATTAATTCAAAGGATGTGTTGCAGACATTTAAAGCAGTTGGTTTGAATAAGGCCTCTTGCTGAAGGCAAAGTTACATTCTGTGCCTCAATTGCTTCTACAGTAGATGCATATCTGAATGTAAAACTGTAAAGTACTTTTTATAAAAGCCTGCACTTAACATTTAATCAGGATTCCTACTTTTACAAGGGTTTGAATACCAGCCCTAAAGACATCAAGTGTTTTAGGTTCAGTGTTAGCCCTCAGCAACCAAGTGTTGCTGTCTGGAGGACCCTAAATACATTCTTGATATAACTGAACCTTGGGAAAACATCTGCTCCTGAACACTAGGGGCTAGGGAAAAACCTAATGAAAACCTATACAAGTGTTTCTTCAAGGAGGGAAAATTAATGCAAAAAATGCTAATGCAATGCAGATGGGAGTGCTTTTAACCTCACAGAGCATCAACCAATCTGCAAAAAAAGCCTCATTCACAGTAGAGCATATGGTGCTTGAATCATAATACACAGCAAATATCATTTGTGATGCCACAGAAAACTAAATTCTAACAACACTGTGGAGAAATTGAAATATGATGCTGCAAAATGGCCAGATAAATATCTGACCTGATCTGTAAACTGAGAAAAAGAGCACTGTGTTAAAAACCTTTACAAAAATGTTTTAATAGGACAAGAGATATTTACCTACAGTTGCGTTTGCAAACAGCGGGTGTGAGAGACTTGCATTATCCCTCATCACAGAGAAAACAAGTGAGTTATGTGAACTAGTAAATGAGGAAGTTGGGTGCGAGATTTCTCTGGGGCTGAGCTATTTATTTCATCTGTATATACTGTATAATGACTCTGAAGCCCTTTGAAGAAGATGGAAGTTTGACGGAGTGGCAGTGTTTATGAGCACACAAGCAGCACACTTTCCCCACAGGAGCCGCCTGAAGACTGCCTGTCGGCTTCCTGGCTGGCTGCTTCCCTGGCTGCTAAGCTGGATTCTCATACAGTCGGGAAAAAGGAATATTGACTGAACCCATGTTGCATCAGAGGGCAAAGCAGCTGGTAAACAACACATGCAGGCATACAGACTTTTACAAGTCAGTGGACAATCTGCATTGCCACAGAGATAAATGAAATGATTTGGGGCGAAAGATGAAACTATTTTTTAATGGGTCAGCTGTCATTCATGAATTTTTCCCAAATAAAGGGCTGGTTGAAATGGCAGCGAGGCAGATTTTAGAGGTTTTTACTGCAAATACACGACCTTCAAAAAGGGCAAAAAGATAGCATTACTCCCAGCTTGTTGCATGTATGCTGCATCTCTATCCTAGGAGAGCACCATTGGCCATATATGTGTTGTAAAAAAAGCCCCGACATCTCTTCTCCTTAATAAATGCAGCTTGACCCTTCAGGGCCTTGCATAATGTTTACAGTGTAGAAAAAAGAGCAGTAATGAGTACTACAACTCACACAAAGTTGGAACTGGTTTGCATTCCAACATACTTGAGAAAAGGTTGACAGGCCATTGAGAAATTAAATTCCATCTGTGTCCGTCACTGTCCTCGAATGCACATTGGCTAAAACTCACTTAATTGCATGATTCAATCACATTCAGCAGTCTACAAGCATCACACACATTGAATCATAAGAATGAGCTGCACATATTCATACAGTATGTCAGATGTAGCTAACCACATACGCGTGACAAGGAAGAAATGTATACAGCAGTGAAAGCAAACACAAATCAATGCATTACGGAAGAGCCAATTGTATATTTATGGTTTATGTGCATCATAAGGGACTCTTTTAGAACTGAAAATAATGAAAATGTATGACAATAGTCACAACGTTGAACAAGCTTTAACTGGTTTTATTTAATACTGGTATTTCTATTTATGACACACTGTCAAATTGAAAAGCAGCCTAACAGCATCCTGTGCCGACAGCATGACGGTGCTAAATCCAACAAATATTGCATTAGTAATAGTTGCTTGACTAAAACCTCACCGATATGGCAACGTTGAAACCAATGAAGGAGGTTAGCCATAAAACAGTAGGGCAAAAAATAAGCAGAACTGGCTTCACAAGAAGCTTATTTATGGGCTCTCCCAGTCTCATTATGTTATAGTCTGGAGAAAAAAAGTATGGCCGGGCAACACCATTAATAACTTTCCCATTTGTATGTTTCTTTTTAATACACTATCCAATAAATAGTGAATGCACCATTTCAAAATCCATAGCAACATCATACAAAGGATTTCTGGGGACACGCCTGTAGAGGCGCGAGTAGGTAATACCATACTTAGAATGTTGCTTAAATATTTATGTTGTATGCCAGGTGCCCGTGCTGCGTACTTTTCATCACACCAGGCTTTTTAAGAATGAATGATGGTTATAAAAGAAACTGAGATTATGGAGTAAGTATTACTTTACCACATCTTTGACTACAATCCTTAATCTGTAGATTTCTACACAAAAAGCAACAAAATACATTGTTTTTATATAACATTCGTTATTGTCCTTAATATTGACAAGAATATCCTTCACTGTCCTCAATACTCTTCAGTATTAGGTAGCGGGAAATATCTGTGACTGATATATCAGCATGCCGTTTTGGAGAAGATTACACAGGCAAAAGGTTGAGGCAGAACAACGCAGTAGAATTGAACCGAGCCACTTACTGCAGATAGAGAGAGAGTAGAAGGAGACAGGAGAGGGAGACAAAGAGAGCAGGAGACGCAGAGCACACATGGGCAGATGGTGAGGGGAGACGTCCTGGACTGGCTAGGTTTGGGGCGGGGGGAGGTGAGGAGGGGGTGGAAGGGATAGAAAACAACACCATGGAAGAGAGGTGGACTAAAGCTAGAGGATGGAGTCAGTCAGTCTGAGCAGGAGAAGGTAAGGATTTAAAAAGGTAAAGAAACAATGGAAGCATATTGGGAGGAAGAGCAGCTCAGAAAATAACTACATGGACAGGTGGTAGAAGGAGGAGAGAATAAAATAGTAAGATGGTGAGATAAGGAGGAAAAGGAAAGAATTCTTAAATAACAAATTAATCATAAAAGGAATTGGAAAGAAAGAAAATGTGAAATTGATGAGAGATTGAGTTCTCACGAAGGAGCAAAGTAGGAAAACATAGGGGTGATGGAAATGTCACAGAAAAAGAGTTGGAATTTAAACTCCCCACTGCATTGAGCTCTGCTTCAACATAGAAAGCGCTGTACTCCATTAGTTCAACTAATTCCCATCACCATCTGCCATGCAATTTCAGATGCACCTGTGGAGTTGCAGAAAAGGTTCAGGACCTTGGGGGAAGGGATGTTGATTTGGAAAATATGACACTAATTAGCTTAATAGAGGTACCTCGTGTTTCCATAACTCAACAGTGGAAGTTCTACAGGAAATCAGTTGAGGTTAGTGGGATCACACCTCCCTTTCATAAAAATATATACTGTATGGTATCTAGTTCTCCTTCAGATATATTTTTGTTCTGAGTAAAGACCTATCCTCATCGTTGTCTCTGACATTTTTCTTTAACCTTTTATTCAAATGGATTGATATCATGAACGACAAAAGTAATAGAGCAGAAAATATGTTTTCCTTACCTTCATAAACAACTTTAAATCCATGAGCGCTTACTGCAAAATCACTGGTAAGCCTCAGTGAAAAAATGGAGCCAGAACTGGTAACAGGCGGAGGGATGGTGAATCCAGTTAACCTGCAGATAAGAAACAAAAGACAACTCAGTACTGGATTCATGATTGAAATTTACAGGAATCACATGAATATGCTAATAATATAATGACATTGTGCAGTTGTAGTTTGAGCCTAATTAAATGCAAAGCCATTTTTAATAAAGTCAATGATGACAGTGCAACAAAACCTGCTTAAAGTAGAAGAAATACAGTGTGTGGTAAAAAACATTTCTTAGTTTTCACACAGGTTTTCCTCAATTGTAATGATGCTTAAAAGAAAACACTGCTGAAAGGTTTGGAGGCAGAAACTAAAGCACTACCTGGGTTTTTTCATCATCTGAATTATTTCTATTTAAATTTGATAACGAACAAGACAGTTTGTTTTGTACATTTGTATTGAGATATGTATGCACTTAACGCAATGATGAAATGAAATGGCAAACAAAAATAACTATAACTTAGGTTTGACGTCTTTGAACAGTCATTAACTTAACACCACTTGTGAGTTTGTGCGTAGTTTGTGTGCAGGTCTGCTCTGAAAATTGTTTGGCAATAACATACTATGAGATTAAAACCTTCCCCATTGTTGGATGCGGTTTGAGTGCTGGCAGTTGAATTGTAACACACTGCTTCATTACTGCATTTCAAATTAGGTGCAGATCCAAACAAATCCATTCACTTTCACAAGGTCATAAACAAGATGTGTTGCTGCCCATTCTTCAGGAACCGTTGCTGATGTTCTATCGACCTTCCACTGCAGTAATCCAGGCTGTGTAGCATGGGAAAAAATGTTTGCATAAGACAGAATGTCTCCTTTTTCTACTGCCATCTAGTTTTGTCTTGTTATTTTCCATTTAGTTTAGCGTTGTTTGTGTGACAGAACCTCTACTTGACAAAAAGCTAGGTGAATAATGTCTGTAGTGGCTTGAGTGTGGAAAAACAGAACTTCCTCCTGTGACAGCAAGGAAGAGGGTGCTGTATTTACAGCTTCAATATAGTTTCCAATTACAGCACTGTGAACTGTGCTGGTTCTAGCAGTAAATAATTACCCTTTGTTGCAGGTACTGCACAGCATGCCAAGATGCTGCTAAAAGTCAATTGCCACATGATGCCATTTTGAATACATTTAAAAGAGGAAACAGAACTTAAAATGCGACCTTGTTAGATACTTAATCAGTCACAGGAGAACTCCCCTGAATTTGCATGCCAACATGGTCAGATTAAAAGTGGAGGCAAGCCTGTGCATCCCCTAAAAGTCTTTGTAGAAGTATTTAACAAAAACAGCAAGCATAGTAAAAAGGTAGCACTTTAACATTGTCACTTTTATGATTTAACTTACAATTGTTTTTAATGAAACAGATGTTCCAAGCCATCTTTAAAGTTAGCCCTCATTAGCCCAAGTCATGGGATTCATGGAGGGGGTTAATTGGTGGCTGAGCAGAACAAAAAAACGACAGAAGAAACTGTATAGCTGCAGACACTCACACAAAAGGTTGATGCCACCCACCAAGGAGCGCATTGCAGGTACAAGATGACGCTAAAATGCCTTGACCAGATATGGTTACTTAAAATGTCAGGAAAATAACACTGAACTAGTTTAGCCAATTAATAAAAACATTGAACAACCTCTTTGCTCTGTGTCACATGATAGCAGTGTTTCCTATATAACACTAGACACTGGTGACTAGGCACTTTGACAGTTTTAAACCTGGCGACGTAGGCGAAGATTCATAGATTTAACCTCTTAATTGAATGCATGTATACATTTTTCTTGTGGAGGAGCATGCACCCCACAGGGTCCGAGGGCCACCAACCATAGTCACCCAAAAACCAGTGGGGAAACACTGGGAAAGGAAAATGATGTGCTGCTATGGCAACATGTGCTAGAGACAGAGAGGGCGAAAATAGATGCAGTGTTAAGACACACATGTATAGAGTAAGTTTTCTTTACCCTCCTACAATTGTCACAACAGTATACCTGAAATAAATCAAAGAGTATCTGCCATGATTACAAGCAATGAGAATAAAATGCCATAAAAATAGTTTAGCCATGAAACTGACACTCATAAAGACCCAGAGATCCACATAGGACATTTCCGTTTTTGTATATTTTTGTGTTTTGCCTTATAAATCAGCACAACCTCAGCTAATGATATGTGTCACTCATTAGAGACTTACTGTATATACACTATAATAGTGGATATTTGCCCATGAATAAAAAACGGAGCTTGAATTTTTACTTATTTCATTAAAAAGAACTGCTAACCTGCCAGTCTGTGTTGAAATAAACATTCAACACAGACATTTGCACACATTTATTATTATTGTATCAGAACGTATTCTGTTCATCAGTTATGCCCATTCTTTTGGGCAGTGTCCCATGTCCTTTTTTGCCAGGAATTGTCTTTTTTTTTCCTGCCAATTTTGAAGACTACACATGATATATATCATATCCACAATCACACATGGCATTCTGAGCAGATTCGTCTGAATTTTCATCGACATCGTCACCTTTAAAAATCAGCTCCAAAGCCTCAGCTGAAGTAAACTTCCTTGCCATACCTCAGTCTACTTTTAAGACACTAAAAGAACGTATTCCAACTTTGATTTTTTTTTCGCACGTGGAATTATACCGGCTCTCATTTCAGTCAAGCCCCCAGGAAGTGCGCCGGACTCTGATGAAAATATTAGTTGTGTCCAAATGGCGGTACTACAATTTCTCCTTATCAGTCCGTGACGTCACTGGGCCCAGAAATACTTTTTCCCATTGACTAACATTGGGAAAGAGACGTCTGTAAATCAGCGGATTATTTTTTTGAAACTAAATAAACTACCCAGTATGAACTATGTTATAGCCCTTATTATAATCATTAGGTCCTTAAAGTTGTAAAATGCACTATAAGCCTAATCTAGTTCTATTTCGTCCTTAGGCAGAGGCGGTGCTTTAGCACTGGATATATCCATCGCACGCATGCGCAGTTCGAGTACCTAATAACAACAAAGTCACCTGTGACCCACGTCACACCGGCTACATAGGCCGGCGTCATTAGCGGATGGGTTCCTTTTCATCTTCTTGCTTCGCGAGAGTTTCGTGGTTGCATTTTTGTAACCTACAAGCGTTCGTTGGAACGTTAGATCTAAGGATTTCCCAGCATATAGCCGGCTGCATGAAGTTTTGCGACTATTCCAGTTGGGGCTACGGGCTACCCGTCCCCCAGGAGCTGTGGGGAAGGACGCTCTGGCGCACGACTGACCAGACAGTCTCCTGTATGCCTTCCCGCCACTGCCTCTGATATTGCAGACGCTTCACAGGGTTCTTACTCAGGGGCACAGGCTCCTTCTGGTTGCCCCCCGCTGGCCGGGGAGAGTTTGGTTCCCACTGCTGCGCAAACTCTCTGCTGCAGCCAACCATGGCGTCTCCCTGGCAGGAAGGACCTTCTGTCACAGCTCAGGGGTCAGATCTGGCATCCCGACCCTCACCGCATTTAGCTCTGAGCCTCTGAGGGGCCAAACCCACTGTTGAGCATTTTCACAGCATCTGTCAGGGAAACTATCCTGAAGGCCAGAGCACAATCCACTCGAGCACAGTACGAGTGCAAATGGAAGCTCTTCTCCAACTGGTGTTTGGGTAAGGCCGAGAATCCGTAGCATTGCTCTTTGGCCACCATTTTAGAGTTTCTGTAGTCCCTTCTGGATAGTGGTCGTTCTCACTCCACTTTGAAGTTCTATATGGCTGCTCTCTCTGCCCAACATGTGGGAGTTGACGGCGCCACAGTGGGGCGCCACAGGTTGGTGTCCCTCTTCCTGAGATGGGCTTTACGGCAGCGTTCCCCTAGCACCCCGGCTCGGGACCTGCCCCTAGTGCTGGATGCCCTGTCATCTCCTCCCTTCGAGCCCCTGGTCCAGGTGGGGCTTAAGTGGCTGTCCTTGAAGGCAGCATTTCTGCTTGCCATAACCTCAGGGAAACGAGGTGGAGAGCTACATGCCCTCTCCATGAGCGATACATGCGGAACTCCGATGGCTCGGGTGTTGCCCTCTGGCCGAACGTGGCGTTCCTGCCCAAGGTGCTTCCACTAGCCCACTCCGCATGCTTTGTGAGCGCACATACGGGTTCTTCTGCTCTGACAGCCAGGCATGATGGGTAATCTGTGACGTTTCGCTCTCTCAAAAGTTGGGCCATTTTGTCTTCATGCGCCAATGAGCAGCTCTCATAGAAAAGAACGAGACCCCGCCTCCCACGCTGTATCCAGTTGTTATTATACACCCATGGTGTCAGTACACATAACAACGGAACTGACAGGCAACCCTCTGAATCAGACTCCGATTGGCTTTGACTGCATCCACTCAGAGTGTCCGATTCAGAAACGTGACTCTTACACTCTTTACGTCACAAACAAAGATGGTGGATGAGAATAGATCTATAAAAAGCTGAAACAGAGAAGTTATGACACTTTGAACACAACGTGATGTTTGGGATCATATACAGCCCCGTGGGTCTCAGAGGTTCATGAAGGGAACACATCTTCTAAGGCAGTCTGTGAGAAGGATTAGGAAGTGAGAGTCTAGGCAGTGTGTTTAATTCTGCAGTCCTTAGACATATTTGTGATTCAGACAGGTAATGACTCAAGTCGTACTGTGTCAGTTACGATAATTTAGGTGTAATTAAAATATATACAAGCAACAGCTAAAACCATGGGAATTAAAACACTGACTACGGCACAATAAGTCATTCTGAATTAATCAAAAACAGCCTTACATTTCTACAGTATTTTCTCATGGAGCCTTGAAAATATCGTATGCGTTTTATCGTTCTTAAAAACCAAAGATGCCCATTGTGACCCAAGTAGGTCTTTAAGAAAAAAAAGACAGAGATCTCCATCGTCTGGCATTCACTGCCACCTGTTGCTCTGGCAACAGAATCATTCTGTGAATGGTTGGAAAATATCATGAGCAAATAAACACTACGGCGCTTCTCTCAGAAAAAAGGAGCTTATGAGTAAGATTTGTTAGACACTAGACTATT